ATCATCTATGGTCAGCGTAAGAGACTTTGCTGCAGGACTATGTGTGGCCAGCTGCTGACTGACGGCAGTGACAATGCTAATGGCAATGCTGTCTGCAACATTTTCTCATGCCACTGTAGTAAAAACAGGCACAGCCTACATGAGAGTGGCAGCTTTGCTTTGAATTTGGGAGCATTGCAGGAAACTGCTTTTAGTGGACTTCACTGTCAAGCTAAACAGGTATTTGTGGGACTTAGCAGAGGAACTGCACCCAGGTTGATTACATAGCTGATCTGATCACAATCCTGTACCCACAATTATAGAGTAATGCAAAAAAAAACCCAAGTAAAGCATGTTCTGATTTTCTTCAGCAGGAGAAAAGGAATTCCTAATTGCCCAGTTATATTTTAGTATCCAGTTATATTTTGTATTTTTTTAGGAATGCCTCCATCTCTTTTTGGAAACAATCTACTGAGCTAGCTAGAACTAGTTCTTGAGGGAGTCTATTCCAAATGTTTCAAATCTCTAACTGTGAAGAAGCCTTTCTGTATGTGGAAGTGAAATTTCTTTTCCTTCAGATGTAAAGAGTGTCTCCTTGTCCTTTGTAATGACCTGAAAGTGAATAATTCAACACCAAGTTCATTATATGGACCACTTATGTATTTATACATGTTGTTCATATCCCCCCCTTAAAGGAGAGGTATGGGATAGTACAAATAGCATTAACTACCCTTACCACAGAACAGCTTTTCTTTCCTATGTTGCTCCATTTTTGCTGTATCCCCATTCCAAGCCCTGGTTAGGGCTGAGTAACGGTCCTCTTCAGGTTTGAAAGTTTAGAGTGGGTGGTTACATCTGTGGTTAGCCACCTCCCACACCCTCCCTTCAACTCTCAACCGCGATTTCCTCACAGAGACACAAGCTGGAACATGCCTGCCTGTTATGTGCCTCTGTTTCTATGACTTCACACTGTCAGCGAGGAACAGAGGCACATACAGTATGCTGAGGGATTTGCAACTCCAGGAGACTGTACTGTACAAGAAAAGAAATGTTCTTCAGCTTCTTCTCTGCTTCACTCTGCAGAGAGAGAACTGATAAAATTTGGCAGTGAGAGCTCAGCCTGGATGGGAGAGGGAGTGAAGCTGCCTATGTGTGAAGAAACGAGTATACATTCAGTTCAGCTTATCTTCCCTCATAGCTGAGCTCCTCTCATCACTTTGGTTGCCCTTCTCTGCTTGAAATGAAATAATTTTACATATAAATCACTTAATATACAGTGCATGTATTCCACCTATACAGTTGCAAGAAAAAGTATGTGAACCCCTTGGGATTACGTGGAGTTTTGCATGAATTGGGCATAAAATGTGCTCTGAACGTCATCTAAGTCACAACAATAGAAGAACACAGTCTGCTGAACATAATACTACACAAACATTAGATGTTGCCATGGTTTAATTGCACATAACATGTAAACATTCACAGTTCAGGGAGGAAAAAGTATGTGAGGCCCTAGCTTAATGACTTCTCCCAGAGCTAATTGGAGCCAGGAGTGAGCCAACCTTGACTCCAATCAGTGTGATGATATTGGATGTGTTGCTGACAGCTGTCCTGTCCTTAAAAAACACACACCTGTTTTGGGTTTACTGGTTTCAAGAAGCACTGTCTGATGTGAACCATGCCTCGCAGAAAAGAGCTCTCAGAAGACCTACGATCAAGAATTGTTGACTTGCATGAAGCTGGAAAGGGTTACAAAAGTATCTCCAAAAGCCTTGATGTTCATGTGTCCACGGTAAGACAGACTGTCTACAAATGGAGAAAGTTTAGCACTGTTGCTACTCTCCCTAGGCGTGGTCATCCTGTAATGACTGCAAGAAGACAGCGCAGAATGCTGCATGAGGTAAAGAAGAATCCCAGAGTGTCAGCTAAAGACCTACAGAAATCTCTGGCACATGCTAACATTTTTGTTGACACATCTACAATAAGGAAAACATTAAACAAGAATGGAGTACATGGGAGGACACCACGGAGGAAGCCATTGCTGTTCAAAAAGAATATTGCAGCACGTTTGAAGTTTGCAAAAGAGCACCTGGATGTTCCACAGCACTACTGGCAAAATATACTGTGGACAGATGAAACCAAGATTGAGTTGTTTGGGAAGAAAACACAACACTATGTGTGGAGAAAAAAAAGCCCAGCACACCAACATCAAAACCTCATCCCCGCTGTAAAACATGGCGGAGGGAGCATCATGGTTTGGGGCTGCTTTGCTGCCTCAGGGCCTGGACAGATTGTTGTCATTGATGGGAAAATGAATTCGAGTTTATCAAGACATTTTGCAGGAAAACGTACGACCATCTGTCCGCCAACTGAAGCTCCGCAGAGGATGGGTGATTCAACAGGACAATGACCCAAAGCATACAAGTAATTTAACAAAACAATGGCTGCAACAGCACAGAATACGCCTTCTAGAGTGGCCCAGTCAAGAGTCCTGACCTCAACCCGATTGAAATGCTGTGGCATGACCTTAAGAGAGCGATTCACACCAGACATCCCAAGAATATTGCTACACTGAAACAGTTTTGTGAAGAGGAGTGGCCAAAATTACTCCAGATTATTGTGCAGGTCTGATCTGCAACTACATGAAATGTTTGGTTGAGGTTATTGCTGCCAAAGGAGGGTCAACTAGTTATTAAGTCCAAAGGTTCACATACTTTTTCCTCCCTGCACTGTGAATGTTTACATGTTATGTGCAATTAAACCATGGCAACATCTAATGTTTGTGTAATATTATGTTCAGCAGACTGTGTTCTTCTATTGTTGTGACTTAGATGACGTTCAGAGCACATTTTATGCCCAATTCATGCAAAACTCCACGGAATCCCAAGGGATTCGCATACTTTTTCTTGCAACTGTATATGTATTATTTTGCATGGAGTTTAGCTTTGTAAAAATGGGTTAAAGACTCATGTACACATTTATTCATTAGATGGGTTTAACCCTATGCATTACAATTTTCTTCCAACTTGTCAGTGATTTCTTCTACATACTAAGAAAGGTGCCCCTGCTTATCAATCCTCTTGTATTGGCAATCAATTTAGGTTAAAAGAAAAAAAGTTTTAAAAATTGTAACTTTAATAAATCTAAAAAAACACCCAAAAGCTTTTAAAGAAAAATCCACCACAATGTATATGCACATAAGAATAAAAACGTGTGTGTCAGGTACACATGCATATTGACACAATTGTACCACACATTTGGTATCAGGTGAATGCTGAAGTTCACATATTTGTAGCAACATCATTCACGGTTAAAGCTAAACTGATGATACATAAAGGCTTTTAAAGTGCCACTTATGTTCAATTTTAGTTATTGTAGATGTTTGCCATTTCATTGGCACCCACAGTTTTATTTATTTTAGGCCCTTTTTAGCCGAATCAATTTACGCAGCGATTTACATATATATTGTACATTCACATCTGTCCCTAACCCTCAAGGGGCGTACAATCTAAGGTCCCTAACTTACATTCATACATACACATACTAGGGGCAATTTAGACAGGATCCAATTAACTTTGAAGCATGTCTTTGGAGTGTGGGAGGAAACCGGTGTACCTGGAGGAAACCCACACAGGCACAGGGAGAACATGCAAACTCCAGGCAGGTGGTGTCGTGGGTGGGATTCGAACCAACAACGCTAGTACTGCCAGGTGGAAGTACTAACCATTTAGCCACTGTGGTGTCTAGTTTTTGTGCTTGACGTTTTCAGTATCTACTCAATGTAACCTCATCTTTTATATTTTCATTATTTTTTTATATAAAAAAGTGAACTAATCCTTTAACCGCTTCCCCGACAGCTCTATAGCAGATTTAATGCTACAGGGCGGACAGGTACACACAATCACGTGTGTATATATACGTGATTTTGCATTTCCAGGTAGGGGGTGCGCTCCCTACTCGCGCTGCAATCACCGGTCCCAGCCGATGATTGCCGAGGATCTCCGACGGGAAGGAAAACTGTATGTAAACAATACAGTTGTCTTCCCTGTCAGCTCGTGCACACTGCTTTGGATGGCTGTGCATAGCACAGCCATTCAAAGCAGTATGATTACAGTAAAGCGCACACACAGAGCTTACTGTGAAACAACACAGAGTTAACCCTTTGATCGCCCCTCATGTTAACCCCTACCTGCCCAGTTCCATTAGTACAGGGTCGTTTTTTTTTTTTTTTTGTTTTGTTTTTTTTAGCATTGATCACTGTATTGGTGTCACTGGGATGTAAGTGACACCAAGTCAGTTCTCCCCAGTATCAGAATACCCGCTGCAGTCCCGCTATAAGTCGCTGACTCAAAATTGTCGGTCTTATTTTTTTGTTTATAACGCAAAAAATAAAAACCGCACAGGCGATCGAATATCACCAAAAGAAAGCTCAATTCATGGGGAAAAAAGGACGTAAATTTAATTTGGGTGCAGTGTTGTATGGCCACGCAATTCTCAGTTAAAGTAACGCAGCGCCATAACGCCAAAAGTGGCCTGGTTATGAAGGGGGGTAAATCCTCAGGAAGGGCAAGTGGTTAAGGAATCTTCATTCCTAAAATGTGCACTTTAACCACTTGCCTACAGGGCACTTATACCCCCTTCCTGCCCAGGCCAACTTTCAGCTTTCAGCGCTGTCACACTTTGAATGACAATTGCGCGGTCATGCAACACTGTACCCATATGAAGTTTTTATCAATTTTTTGAGACAGATAGAGCTTTCTTTTGGTGGTATTTAATCACCTCTGGGTTTTTTATGTTTTGCTAAGCAAACCAAAAACAACTGAAAATTTAGAAAAAAAAAACGTTTTTTGTTAGTTTTTATTATAAAATTTTGTAAATAAGTGATTTTTCTCCTTCATTGATGTGTGCTAATGAGGCTGCAGTGATAAGCACTGATAAGCTGCACTGATGGGCACTGATGAGGAGGCACTGGTAGGTGACACTGATGAGCATTGACAGGCATCACTGATGGGCACTGAAAGGCAGCACTCATATATGGTACTGATAGGCGGCACTGACTGGCACTGTTAGGTGGCACTGACTGACACTAAGAGGCGGCACCGAATGACACTGATAGGTGACACAGATTGGCAGCACTGATAGGTGGCACTGACTGGCATTGATAGGTGGCACTGACTGGCACTGATAGGTGACACTGAAAGGCAGCTCAGATGGGCACTGGTATGTGGCATTGATGTGCACTGGTAGGCACGGATATGTGACATTGATGTGACACTGATGGGCACTGGCAGGTGGCATTGATGGACACTGACAGGTGGCACTGCTGGGGCTACACTGATCATCAGGGCACACTGATCATCAGTGCCCTGATGATCAGTGTACATGTCCTCTCTGCGGAATACCGATTACCGGCTCTCCTCTCCTCATGAGCTGTTAGCTTGACAGCCCGTGAGGGGAGAAATGCTGATAACCGGCATTTCCCTATTTATATGCGATCAGCTGCGATTGGACACAGCTGATCACATGACCGAGCCAACATCTTCGGCTCTTTCCGTTGATTGGTGATCCGCTGTGTCCGAGGGACAGAGCGCACCTCCGATCGCCGCGCTGCGTTCCACCGGAGCCACGCACGTGTGGTTAAAGTGGGAGGACGTCATATGACGTCCTCCCAGAACGAGAGAACCACCTTGCACTCGTCATTACCTTATATGGCGGGTGGGAGGCGGTTAAACAAATGGCTTCAGCAGTGAGAGGGCTGAAGAACACAGATATGTCTGTAAAACTGAATTGAATTTAACCATTTTAACCTGTGCATTTTTTAAATATTCCTGCATGCTCCGTTATAGCTGTGCTTTTCAGAACATGCATGGTTCATTGAAATAGATTGTAGCATACATGAAACTCATGATAAAATGCACATAGATTTGTTTAATACAGTGGGCATAGAAGGGAATCACCCCCCTTTAAAATAATCACATTTTTGTTGCTTTGCAGCCTGAAATGAAGACACACAGTTTTTTTTTTTATCCATCTGTATTTACTTATAATGCAACTTATAACATCCAAGTGTAAGATATAACACCAGCATGTCAGAAAAAAAATCAAAAACCGAATCACCGAGTTTGAAAAAGAATCACCCCCTAGTGTTAGTATTTTGTTGAACCACCTTTTGCTTTAACCATTTGCCTACCATGCACTTTTACCCTCTTCCTGCCCAGACCAATTTTCAGCTTTCAGTGCTCTCATACTTTGAATGACAATTGTGCAGGCATGCAACACTGTACACAAACTAATTTTTTATGTTTTTTCTTTTTTTTAACATATAGAGCTTTTGATGGTATTAAATCACCACTGAGATTAAAAAAAAAAAAAAAAAAAAAATTTTTAAAGTTTTTTTTATTTACAAAACTTTGTAACAGAAACAAAGTAATTTTTCTCCTTCACTGATGGGCACTGGTGAGGAGTCACTGATGGGTACTGATAGGCAACACTGATGGGCACTGATGGGTGGCACTGATGAGCATTGATAGGTGGCACTGATGGGCACTGTTAGGCAGCACTAATGGGCACTGATGGTTGGCACTGATTCAGCTGATGGGCGGCACTGATGAGCACTGATTGCCTGCACAGGTGGGGCAATATTGGCCACATTGATCACCAGGACACTGATGATCAATGCCCTTATGATCAGTGTAGATGTCCCTCTGCGAAATGCCGCTTACAGGCTCTCCTCGCGCTGTCAGTGTGAGGAGAGGGCCTGCTGATAACTTTCCTATTTACCTGGTGATCAGCTGTGATTGAACACAGCTGGTCACATGGTAAAGGTGGCTATGATTGGCCCGTTCCTTAGTCATGTGATCCGCTGTGTCCGAAGGACACAGCGATCACAGATTGCGCAGTGCGCTCCCCAGGTGGTGCGTGGAGGGTGTGGTTCTGCGAGAATGTCCGTGGACGCCCTCCCAGAACTACCCGACCGCGCTGTAGCCATCTTTTGGCTATAACACGGTCGGGAGCTGGTTAATTACATCCTTTAGTCTGTTGGGATATGCCTCTACTGACTTTCCACATCTAGACTTTGCAATATTTACCCATTCTTCTTTGCAGAACTACTTAAGTTCAGTTAAATTTTAAATTTGATTTTCACTGTTTGTGGACTGCAATCTTCAAGTCGCTGCGCATATTTTAAATGGGGTCTAAGTCTGGGCTCTGACTAGGCCATGGAAGGACATTCACCTTTTTCTGCTTTTTCACACCCACTGTGTGGTAATTTTTGCTGTGTGCTTTGGGTCATTGTCATGTTGGAAAGTAAACCACCTTCCTACTTTCTGGCAGATGGCAGCAGATTTTCTTCAAGAATTTGATGGCATTTTGCCCTATCCATTTTATCTTCTACCCTGACAAGTGCTCCAGTCCCTGCTGCAGAGAAACATCCCAAAACAGATATTACCACCTCCCTGCTTTACTGTAGGAATGGTGTTATTTGGATGGTGGGCTGTATTGGATTTCCGCCAGACATATTGTTTAGTGTTGGGACCAAATAATTAAATTTTAGTCTCATCTGACTAAAACACCATTTTCCATGTGACCTCAGAATCTTCAGGGTGCATTTTGGCAAAGTTCAGTCATGACTGCACATGGCCTTTCTTGAGAAGTGGCTTTTTTTTTTGTCACATGCACACAATGGCTACTCTTTGTCATTAATTCCTGCAACTGCTTCAGAGTTGCTGTAGGCCTCTTGGTAGTGTCTCTCACCAGTTTCCTCCTGGCTCTTTCATCCAGTTTGGAGCGACGTCCTGATCCAGGGACGGTCTATGTTGTACCAGATACCTTCCACTTCTCCACTGTACTTCTAGGCATTGATAAAACCTGTCAGAGCCTGGGATCGAACCTGGTCCTTCTGCAGTGGGAGGCAATGTCTCTTCTCACTGAGCTATCTGGAATGCTGGACAGCTCCCTTGACAATTCTTGGATAATCCTGCCTTGTGCCTTGATTTCTCTTGAACCTTGAACTCCTTGCTCCTCCCATGAACTTCCTTATAAAAGCCATGTCCATGCACTTCCCCTTGCCAGATTATTGTGCCTTACCAGCCAATATCCAGCTTACTGTTCCTGCTGCTGTCTTCATCTACGTTACCGACCTTTGGCTTGCTACTAACTACGATTCTGCCTCATCCTATCTATTATCATTGGTGACCGACCCTTGGCTTGTGACTGACTCCGCTTCTGTTTGATCCCTGAACTGTTTGATCCGCTTTTGGTTTCCAGCCTACTCATTCCCTGGTGGGGTGATCCTGAGATCTGCGACCTGGCATTCACACGCAGCCAAATCCATCTCCACCATTAGGAGCTCTGGGGAAGACCGGTGGATGCTTAGACCTCGCACCTCAGGTGAGCCTGCGTCATTCCCAGGGTGAGCCGCTGGTGTACCAAATCCTGCTGGTTTCAGGTAAGCCTTACAACTGCTGTAGCAACTGGTCTCTGAACCTGACCTTATATTGTGACAGAATAATCTGGCCCAAAACATGGAGGCCGCTATAGCAAATGCCATGGCTCCTGTCAGGCAGCAAATTTCAGAGCTGCAAGAGTTTGGTGTTACCTACCAAGAACAATTTTCTGTATTGCAAGGTATAGTAGAAAGGCAACAGGGAGAGATTCAAGCTCTGCAGAGACAGCTGCTGAACCGAGATGATCCTAACTCACATATGCCCCAACCATCTAAGTTTAATGGAGACCGCCGCCACTACACGGGTTTCCTTAATCAATGTCGTGTATATTTCCAAATGTACTCTGCTGCGTTTCCTTCAGAGGAAAAGAAGGTAATGTTTATTATTGGGCTTCTGACTGGGGAAGCTCTAGCTTGGGCCTCCCCTTATATAGAGCAGAACCCATAGCATTCTGAATAATTCTGATACCTTTTTGACCGCAATGAATCAGGTTTTTGATGATCCCAACCGTTGTGCTACTGCCGAAGCAAAATTGCATAGTCTGCGGCAGGGTAGACGCTCGGTCACTGAATATACAGCCGAATTCAGAAGTTGGATGGCAGATACCACTTGGAACCCTGCAGCACAAAAGAGCCAGTTCCGCCAAGGGCTTTCTGAACAGGTAAAGGATGAGCTTGCCAGAGTAGATATTTTAATGATCTTGAGGAATTTATCCAATTGTGTATCCGAATCGATCAAAGGCTTACTGAAAGGAGGAAGGAGAAGTTGGGAATGTTTGGAAGTAATAGGGGCATGTATCTCTCTGCTAGTCCATTTGTTCAGCAGGATTCAAGAGTCTCTCTGGGTTGTAACACTCCTGAGCCTATGCAGGTTGATGCGATCAAGAGATCCATTTCTATCCAGGAGAAAGAGAGAAGACGATCCGAGAACTTATGTCTTTATTGTGGGGATTCTGGTCATTATGCAATTAATTGTTCTAACAAGGTTAAAAGAATGATTGCTGTGACTGATGTGATTGAGCCTGAACACATAAACTCTATAAGCCAGTCTGTCTCCCCACTGATTCCTGAAGAGAATAAAGTGAACTCACTACTTTCTCACTTTGTTATCCCTATTAAACTTGTATCTGAGGGCCGTGAAATCTCCTGCTCAGCTATGCTGGACTCCGGGGCGGGGGGGAACTTTATGGATATAGAGTTTGCCAACAGCAATAATATTCAAGCAAGAGACACATTTACTCCTATTGATATGGAGACAGTTGATGGGTCACCCTTATCTTCAGGACCTGTTACCCATAAAACGGTTCCCCTGGTTCTGTTGTTTGAGGCTGACCATTGTTAGACCATCAGCTTTCAGCTGATTACATCACCCAAGTTTCCCATCATCCTGGGCATTCCTTGGTTCTCCACTCACAATCCTGCCATTAACTGGGGAGCACGAACTATAGATTTTACGTCCTCCCACTGTAAAAAATATTGCAAAAAACCTTGCCAACCAAGTCCGTCACCAACCAAGGAGGCGCTAAGTGATATAGTGGCTATCCAGTCATATGACAATTTGCCCCCACATTACCATGAGTTCCGGGATGTCTGTGACAAGAAAAATGCAGATAAATTGCCCCCTCTTCGCCCATATGATTGCCCCATTGAGCTGCTCCCAGGGGCAGAAATACCTTTTGGCCGCCTGTTCAATCTGTCAGAACCTGAACTAAAAGTACTCAGGGAGTGGATCGATGATAATTTGGGAAAAGGCTTTATTAGACACTCAACTTCTCCTGCGGGGGCAGCCCTGTTCTTCGTTAAAAAGAAAGACTCCACCTTGCGTCCATGCATTGACTACCAAGACATGAATAAAATCACTATTAAAAACCGCTGTCCATTACCCTTAATCTCGGAAATGTTGGAAAGACTTTGTTCTGCCAAGATCTTTACCAAGCTTGATCTACGAGGGGCATATAACCTTGTCCGCATTCGTCAAGGAGACGAATGGAAGACTGCCTTCAGAACCAGGTATGGGCATTTTGAATCCTTGGTGATGCCGTTTGGACTCTGCAACGCCCCTGCAACATTTCAACATTTTATCAACGATGTCTTTCGTGATCTGTTGGACCAATTTGTGATTGCCTATCTGGATGATATCCTTATCTTTTCTGATAATTGGGAAGAGCACCGCAAACATGTTTGCACAGTTTTTGAAAGATTAAGGAAAAATAGACTTTACATTAAATTGGAGAAATGTGAGTTTGAACAAACCCAGATCCAGTTCTTAGGCTATATCATTTCTCCGGAGGGAGTGAGCATGGACCCCGAGAAGGTCAAAGCAGTGGTAGATTGGTCAGCACCCAGAAATGTTAGGGAAATTTCAACGTTTTGTCGAGTTTGCCAACTTCTACAGAAAATTTATAAGAAACTTCTCTAGAGTGATAGCTCCAATCACACAACTTACAAAGAAAGGGGTACCCTTCGTGTAGACCTCTGAGGCACAAGCTGCGTTTGAAAAGCTGAAGACTCTTTTCACTTCCGCACCAATCTTGGTACATCCCGATCCTGAACTACCCTTTATAGTGGAAGTGGATGCTTCCAATTCTGCCGTGGGAGCGATCCTGTCTCAGCGAAGTGATGAAAAGATGCAGCTTCATCCTTGTGCCTATTTTTCCCGTTTGATGTCTCCAGCTGAAAGAAATTACGACATTGGGAATAAAGAGCTACTGGCAATTAAGGAAGCCTTTTCGGAATGGAGGCATCTGCTAGAAGGGGCTAATCACACTGTAACTGTTCTCACTGACCATAAGAATCTGGAATTTGTTCGCTCAGCCAAGAGAGTGTCTTCTAGACAAGCACGTTGGTCGCTATTCTTTTCCAGATTCAATTTTATCATTTCATATCGACCTGGATCGAGGAATGGCAAGGCCGATGCCTTATCAAGGATGCTGTCTGAGCCTCCCCAGGAGGGTTTTTTCCGAATGTTTGATCCTAACCCAAAAGAACTTTCTAGGGGCCACAAGTGCAAAGACATTCTTGAGTCTTCTCAAAGAGGGGTATGAGAACAACCCACTTCTCAGTGATCCTCCTAGAGACATTAACCTTGAGTACAAGAACGGGTTTTGGACTCTAGAGCATCGTCTCTATGT